ATCATGAACACTACCGTTAGTACACCACCACCGCAGTCAACAACATTACCATCACTGCCACTGCAACTACAATCATGAACACTACCGTTAGTACATCACCACCGCAGTCAACAACATTACCACTAAAAACTACCACCGACCCCACGAACACTACCACTAGTACCACTCCTCCACCACTGCAAACAAAATGTCATAATGTAGACGCCCTTCACAACGATATCATTAACTTATCAAAACTGGTGAAGTTTTACAAACTTGTTTTTTTTCCTCAGGAAATTTGTCATGATACTATCAAATATCAAAACATTATGTATTAATTAATTAATTATCTAATTACAAGTTTTTAGCGATTTATTTCTCTTGCGAGTAGCTCTAATCAGAACTAAAGCAAAGCCTAGACGTATCCAAAATTAAAAGACTCTAGGTTTATACATTTCTAATAAACTAAATTCTCCTACGTGTGCTATTATGAATACGTGAAGACAATTATGATTGCGAACACATATATGAAAAGATAAACTAGCAGTGTCAGCCTTCGACTGCCCCTCTCTTTCTCACAACAAACGAATATCCTTCACTGCTTATAGTTGCTCTTCTACTAAATGCGTTTGAAAGACAACGGTTTAGGTAGATGGGTGGGTAGGTAGGCGAGTAGGTGGTAGATAGGTAGGTTAGGTGGAAATATAGTTAGATGGGGAAGAGGGGATGATAAACGGAGATTGGAATGAATGGAGGAGTAAGTTTGTCGGCCGTAAGGAATTAGGGAAACAAATAGTTAGGCAAGTCTTGATCATAGGGGTTAGTAGTTAGATGTAAAAGGAGAAAAGGTAGAAGGCAGGTAGGTTAGGTTAGTACCACTAGGGATATGTGCACCAGGTTAGATAGCCAATCGATGATCACTGTTTTTTACGCAAATCGAGAGAGAGATATATATACATGTTGTGTTCATGCTAGCATGCCTATAATGTAACCATGTTTTTTCGTTTTAAATACTCATTCAAGGTTGGGAGGCTCATCGATGTGTTTAGACTTTCTTGTTCGAAATTTTAAATGATTATCAAGTCGTGTTGATTAGTGTGTGTTGTGAGTTTGGCATGCCATATTATGTTCAACATTAAGTCTGGTCATGATTGGTGGGAATACGAACCCAGATGACGAGCAGGTAAAGGATGGTAGCTGAGATCGCGTTTTCAGAACTATTCATTTGATAGAATGAGTTGAAGATAAAAATGATTTATATGAAAATACCATCGACCCTCCTGGACCATTAAAATCTCCATCGTCACGAGACATCCCCGGACAACTGTCCCCACTTCACTTGGCCATATCTAAGTATACACTGTTCCTTTGTAATTGTGTGGTTCAGTAATATTGTAAACCCAGTCTCTTAAATTCCATGCAGAAGATTTATAAAATAATAACTTTGAAAAATTGACTACCATTTAGCGCCTGCAGTTACACTACGACAGCGGTGTCTCCTCTACCGTGCCCAATCCCCGCAGGGACGTTGCCGTTTGATTGTGAGGTGGCGTGGGAATAGGTACTCTCGGAAGTGGTTCTCAATTGTTTACGTACTTCAAATACCTTAGAGGAAGAAAATGCTAAGTTATAAAGGCTTTGCACTATCACGTGATGGCAGCCATGACAGGAGGCACAACAACAGTTTTGGAAAACGGAGTCTTTCAGATGTAAATGAATTAGACCAGATTAATTTGTTCCTGCCACCTGTCAAGGCTGCCATCACCTGATTATGTAAAGCCTCTATTTAATAAGGCTGGTAATTACCTCGCCTTGATGAGGCAATTTTATAGATTAAAGCAGAGAAAATATACGTTTTGGTATTGTATTTTGCAAGATCGTACAGACAGACAGACGGATAGCTATTCGGCAGCATGGATGGATAGTTAACGAGGCCAATGCAATGTCCTCTATCCCATACGTACCTCTGAGATAGCTTGGCGAAAGCAATGGAAGTTATAGTCAATTAGACCTACAAAAATAAGGATAATTATTATACAGTTAGTATAGCACGTGCGCGCTTATTGATCGAAAACTGTGCTTTATTAGTGAATTGTATGACTCTGAAAAGCTCGCAGCACCAACGCCGTTGTGATACGGTAAGGCATACGCCAAACAAATCACATTTGACCAGAATTTACTCTCCATCGAATCAAATACATACAACACAGCCTGAACACGGTGCGGACACGGTCACGCCAATGTCACGGCACTGCCAGACCAATTGATCACATTGCGCGAGAAAATACTCAGCCGATTAACATCCTTGAAAACATCACGGTCGCAGCAAGGACGCATTGATGGTTTTCACAGTCTATTTTGTTATATCATCCAACATGGCCGTCGTCTCATTTGTTATTTCGTTCTCTTGGGAACGGCTGAAAACCAACAATACGGCTCCAAGCTTTTCAAAGTGATACGAAAAATGGGCTGACAAGTGTACTATCTTCAATCCCAAACATACACTTTCAAGTTTTAAAGGTCTTTAGTGTCAGTCTTTGTTAAAACCAATTCGTACCTTTTTTGGCGAAATTATCTTCTCGAAGTATGCACACTAGAGCAAGAAACCTGTGAATGAAATTGACCGTAAATATATAAATCACGTGACCATGGTAAGGATAAAGAATGTCTGGTCAAGTCACGTGACTAG